TTTGTAAATATTTTACTATTTGTCATAAAACTGAGTTTCCTTACTATCCTCTAAAACAAGGTATTATAGAATGTACTCTTTCTACTATCAAAAATTATTTAAATAAAGAGGGAATTATTGGAATACTATATCCCCTAAATTCAAATAATTATATTTCTCACTTACAATTTATTTTAAATTTTTAATTTTGGATGACTATAAAAGGTCTGCCGCAGACAGACAATGGTGAAATATACAATAAAAGTATACTGAAATTAATTGGAAGGATGCATTAACAAAGCAATGAAAAAGACCCGACCCTGTGTTAATATGGGGTCGAGGCTGTGTTTGTTTTTCCACAGAATGAACAAGCTCCTAATTGGTTGCCTGAGAGTCTTGTGCGGCATTACTCCGATGACTACGGAAGAGATCTACTGGGTGTACGTCACAGATCCTCCTCTCCTGCACCTGGCGACACGGAATGAGTCCCTCATACTTATGCTTTAGGATATCCCTCTAATAGTCATATTAAATGGGAAGAAAGACCATTCAGTTATTCTGGGTACACTTTAGGGTATCCTATCTGCTTTACCAAAAGTAAACCAAAAAATGGATGCTTATTTGTTAATAAGATGCAAAGAATATCTTCAGAGTTAGACAGTGAAAACCCATCATGGACTGTACAATTGAATTATCTGGTTTTCGACCGACAAGCTTCCGGATATGGTGTGGGTAGAATAAACACCATCTTTCCAGCAGATGCCAACCTTCCCTCATGTTTTAGGAAAGGTCGTGCTGGCATCTGGCAATCACTTTGGAGAAAATGTCATCATAACAGTGCTATGGCCATCCTCTTGTCTAACATTAGTACTGGTAATACAATTTTTAAAGGACCAACGGTTGGAATGCTACCTCGCTTGGACTACCCGATGTTATTAGACTGGTTAACTCTTTATGCACATGGTCTGGGACTTCCTATGAAAGGATTTGTAGGAGGAATGTGGACTATAGATATGCAGAACCTTCAAACCGAATTGTGGAAATTAGTTGCCAGCGTGGATTCGATAAATATTTCCTGTATCCCAAAAGATAAATGTAAGGGAGGTAATGTCACAAACGCCAAAGTCCTTTCATGGGTACCTGAACCATATGTCTTATTAATTGGTAATAATGTAATCACTGGTGATTATCCAAAAAATTTTTTTTATTATCCAAAATTTAATGTAAGTTGTTCTCATTGTAAAATTTCTAACTGTATTAGCTCTGTTACCAAAGATGATTCAGTTGTTATTCTAAAGAATCCTCTTTTGTTATGACACGGGTAAAGTTAAATGATATTTGGTACGATGATAAAAGCTTGCAAATTTTAAAAGAGTTATAAAAAAAAAAAAAAAAGAGTTATATAAGTTGTCATCTGGAACCAAAAGAGCTGTAGGTCTAATTATTGTAGGAATTGTTTCTCTTATCTCTATGATTGCTACTGTCTCTACTTCTGCTATAGCTTTGACTCAAGAAGTTCAAACTGCTAGGTTTGTAAATGGGTTAATGCATAATGTGACAAAAAACTGGGCAGAGCAAGAGAATGTGGATGAAGTTATGGAACAAAAATTAAATGCTTTATATGATACAGTGAATGTATTAGGAAGCATGGTACAACAAATTAGAATGAAAGGAAGGTTAAGATGCCATGGGGCCTATGACTCTATTTGTGTTACTAAATTTAAATACAATAGCTCAGATAACGACTGGACAAAGGAATTTAAAAGGAATTTGGATGGCTAATAATGATTCTCTTGATTTGTATGATCTGCACCAAAGAATTATAGAAATGCAGAATACCCCAGATATAAATATTTCCCCAGCTGAACAAGCTAGTCAAATATTTCAAAATCTAAAAAACTGGTTTCCTTCAATAACTTCATTTAGAAATCTTCTTTTTACGATTGCTGCTCTTTGTATTGTTATCATAGGTATACTATGGGTCCGGTCCTCCCTTGTGTTGGTCATATAATAGCCAAGCGTTATAGAGAACTGCTGTGTAAAGTGCATGGGATTCAACTTAAGGCCCTCCCCAGAAAAATGCAGGATGTGTAGCCAAAGACGGGCAAGGAATGAGACTCGCTCATGATCTTAAGACAGGGAGTAGCATTGACTGCTATGATCCCAAGGACAGAAAACTTGAGTTTGAGGTCTCATATCCACCTAAGACAGGCAGCATACTGTATTAAGAGGGAGGAGCTGTCAGGGCCTGGCTAAGCTGCAAAGCAGGATCAGCAATGCATTGTAAAAACAGTAGGACCACTCATCTTGGCTTGACCATCCATTCTACAGTAAACAACTCCAGGAAGCAATATACTAATGAATAAGGAGGGACCAAAGGCCTCAGATTTCTAGGAATGTGATACCTTCTTGTTTTCCAATAGATATCATAGAATATCCTGGAAGATGTCTTTGTTTTGTGTTGAGGTCTGGGAATGTTTGATCTACCAGTCAACATCTTGGACAGAAAGAGATAATGCAATTACCCCTGCAGGCATGTTCCTAAGACGTGTATACATACCCTTGCCAGAATATTAAACTTGCTATTTGTCATTAGCAATTAGCCTCTCCGCATCTTCATTGCAACCTGGTGCCTCCTTTTGGCGGAATTCTCCCGACATTTCGGGGCTGGATCCCCGATAACTTCTTACCTGCATCATGGGCTGCCAGAGCCTGCAGCATCTTGCCAGCACTCCGGCGGATCTGAGGCTCAGGGTTGCACAACATCTGCATGAGCAGGTCCAGAGCGCCTGTCTCCCTGAAGACCCTGGTGAGGGGCCCGATGCTGGCGTAGGCACTGAGCACATGGATGGTGTGGAGCACAGCGGCGGTAACACTGGATGCTCCACCTTCGGCCAGCTGCCTGGCAGCCCTTCGTACCAGGGCCCGCACATCAGCCTCCATCTCTCCCATTGCCACTGCATCCAGGCTTCCTGGGTCTCGGGGGAAACTTGCTGAGCTTCCAGCTGGTTCATGCTTAGGCCCCTTAGATAGTGCCCTCTCACCTAATAGGATGGGACAGTTGGCATAGACTTCGGGAGCTGACAGCCACATGAGGATATGTTCTGACTTGTCTTCGGAGCCCGCACCCACTCTGCCCACTTCCCCACACTTCAGGATACTCCATCGGATCAGGTACTCAGGATGTCCATCATGCCCAGGCCTCTGTCGAAGAAGTTCTTCAGGAAATGCCTGTAGCTGAGGCCCCAAGGGTACCATGAGGTCCCTGGAGCACTGTTCCCCCACCATCCTTTCCTCCTGGGGCAAGGGGAAAGATAAAGGCAGTATGAGAAAGAGAAAACAGTACATTGAGGGAGTACCTGGAGACAGACAGGGTGGTGACTGTAAACTGTATGGTGGGATTCAGGGGTCAAATAGAAAAATCCAGGAATAGGATTAAATAAATACCTAAACACAATCTGGAATTTACAAAAAGAGTATGGTAGATAAGAAGAGTGAGTGTAGGGGAGCTCTGGTGGCCTAGTGGCAAGAAGCTGCACTGCAATCCCAGAGGCGCACGGTTCAAGTCCACCAGATGCTCTGCTGGGAAAGGAGGGACAATTTCCTCCTGTACCAGCCAGATCCGATTTGACGGTACATACAGAAAATAATAATAAAAAAATCTTTTAAAAAAAAAAAGAGTGGATTAAAGAAAAGTATTTTTAAAAAGTGGGGGGAAAAAAGGAAAAAAAAGTGGGGGAAATTGCAAGAGATTGAGAAGAGTCATAGGGAAGGTAACAGTACAGAGTATTGAATAAGCAAGGGCTCAATCTAAGCAAAGGAACAGGATGGATGAGGGGCATGCATCAGGACTTAGAAGAATAGCATGGGTATGGAAGAAAGAGCAGCATGTGAGATGGGGGAGCTGGAGGGCAGGATTTCAGGACTGGGAATGGAGTATACATGAAGGGACAGGGCTGGAAGGTATATAAAAGGGTAGGCTATGGCAGATATGGAAAAAGGAGATGGAAACGAGGTTGGGATGGGGCTGTATGGAAAATGAAAATACAAATATATAAGAATACTGTGGAGGGGGGAGGAGTCAAAGTGTCATAAAATTTTTAAAGTGGAGGAAAACTAGGTCCCACTGCATACCTATACTGCATCTACGCTGCTGCTGAGTGTCATCGAGCCTCAGGGCTCACAGGTGACTCTCCACTGGGTTTTCAGAGGCTGTGAACTGCCCTGGAAATTGCCTATCTTTCTCCTTCAGAGCAGCTAGTGGATTCAAATCACCTGCCTTTGGGTCAACAGAGCAACTCCTTATATGATAAGGTCACCAGAGCTTCCTTGTATAAGGGTCTAATTAAGGCAGATACAAATGGTGGTGATAATGATAGGGTAGGGAATAAAATCAAGAGATGGTGAGATTATAAAAGCAGCAAAATAGTATATTTCAGAGTCAAAAAATATGACTTTAAATTCTGGCTCTTTGACTATTTGCATAGCTTTGGACAAATTACTTAACCTCTGAATTTGTTTCCTCACTGGTAACACAGTGATACTCTTCATTCTAACCACACTAAATTGTTACAAAACTTAGCAACATATTGTATGTAATACATAGTACAGTCTGACACATTGTGACCGCTCTGTAAATATAATCTAATGTTATTATTCTTGGATGGGAGAGGTAAGGACAGCCATCAAGGAAATGGAATGTTATTAAATCAGAAGATTACAAATAGAAATGGAATAATGGCTATATCAGTAACCAGGATATATGTGATATAACGCAGAATGGTGAGAACAAGATTGAAAGGAAAACCAAGGGAAAAGGTGATGAAAGGGTCACTAGGAGTTATAAAGATGGACCAGAATAGACTGATTACTGCAGGGAAGGGGAACTGAAGGTTGTGGGCTCAAATGATTGAAAGGGTCCAGTTAGCACAGGGGACTACACTGGGAGGTAAGTGGTGATGTGCAGATGGCTCCTGATTAAAGCAAGGTGAAGTGAAGCAGTCTGCCAGTTCTAAATTAGGGCGAGGGCAGGAGGAACTACGTAAAGAGGGCCTAGACCACCAGCAAAATATTGAAGGGTAAAGAAGAGGCCTGGCCAAGGCCAGCAGGGCAGCACAGAGCAAGGCCGGGTCCAAGGTTGTAGACCAGTAGGGACGGTGGAGGAGGCCAGTACGGACAGCGGGAACGGGTCTAGGGGGCGGGGTGAGGATTGGGGGGGGGCGCGGTCCGATGAGGATGACAACACCAAGAGAGCAAGAGAGCAAGACATTAGTCTGTTCCACACGAAGTAGGTACAGGGCCCTGGAAGGGTCAGGGGAGGGGTAAGGGATGAGCCGAGTAGGCGCAGAACTCTGCTCTCACCTCCCACCGCCTGGTAAGGTCCTCCCAGGGACCCAGCGGCCAGTCCCGCCGTCCTGGCCCCGCCCCCACAGCTGCTCCCTTCCGGGTCACGCCGCGAGTGTACGTACAGCCGCGCAGCTACGGGTCCCACCGCGGCCCACAGTCAAGTGCGACGGCACAGCCCGCGAGCGGGAGCATGCGCGGTCCCCGCAGCGGGCGCACCGCGGGGAGGGGAGATGGCAGAGAGCTCTGAGGGCCAATGGACCCCGCGGGCGGAACCTGCTATTGGGGTCACTTTGCTTATATCTCTGCTTAAGGAGTACGCAGCCCTTTCCATGCATAGTAAACTTTAAAGCTCCCTTCCCTTCTTTCCTCC